TGTTTTAGGAGGAAAACCTCATAATTCTTGGGGCATTAAATAGATTACTTAAAAGGGTCTTGTCTCAGTTGTAGGGAATTATTAGCTCTAGATTAACTACTGCTTTGGTGTTGAATATTAAATCTTAAAAGCAAGACCTGAAAGAAGTAAACTGTTTCCAAGTAATTTAACTGTATCCTACAATAAAGCTCAAGAATATTTATAGGTATACGAAAATAGCTAACATCCAACAAGGTAAAAATCACACTGTCTGGTATCCAATAAAAATTACCAGTCATACAAAGAAGGGGGAAATCCTTGATCCATAAGGGGGAGAGAAATTAATAAATTGACACCTACCCAGAATTAACATAGATGTTAGAATTAGCAGAGAAGGACATTAAACATTATAACTGTATTATCTATGTGCAAAAAAGAAAAGACTGAATTCTGAGTCATGGAAAATATAAAAATGACCCCCAAACTTCCAATGAAGAAACTTCTAGAAGTGATGTCTGGGATGAAAAACACACCAGAGGAGATTAGCAGCAGATTAGACACCAAAGAAGAAAAGATTAGTGAACTCAAAGACATCTCAGTAGAAACCAATCTGGAAAACAGTAATACACTGAGCATGGCTTTCCTAGGTATTTACTCAAGAGAAATGAATGCATATACCCATACAATGACTGTGTACATTATTTGTTAATAGCCCCAAACTGGAAATATCCCCAAATATCCAAACCAAAAAAAACAAACCTATTGCTGTCGAGCTGTTTCCGACTCATAGCGACCCTATAGGACAGAGTAGAACTGTCCCATAGGGTTTTCAAGGAGCAGCTGATGGATTCAAACTGCCAACCTTTTGGTTAACAGCTGCACTCTTAACCACTGTGCCACCAGCGCTCCCCCAAATACCCATTAACGTTTAAATGCATAAATAAATTGTGGTATATCCATACAGCTGAATATTACTCAGCAGTAAAAGGGATAGACTATTGTTATGTGCAACGGTGTGAAAGAGTCTCAAACAAATTATGCTGAGTGAAAAAAGCCAAATGAAAAGAGTATATTCTGTAATTCTATTTACAGAAAATTCATACTAATCTGTAGTGACAGAAATTAAATCAGTGGTTCCCTGGATGGGGATGAGGTGGAGGTAGCAAGGAGAGGCAGTTGGGGGAAATTACCATGGGGCAAAAGAAAACTTTTGGGGGTGTTGGTTAAGTTTATTTTCTTGATTATGGTGGTAGCTTCACAGTTGTGTACATTTGTCAAAACTTATCAAATTGTAGGTTTTTAGAATGTACAATTTATGTCAATCATACCTTAATAACGCTGTTAAAAACTACACATACACACACACACACACACACACACACAAAGAGACAATAAAATAAAAGAGGAACAAATCAAATGTAAAGTACAGGAGGAAAATAACATACATATAATAGCAGAAATCAATAACATAGAAAATGGATAAAAGAGAAAATCAGTGCAACAAAAAGCTTGTCTTTTGAAAAGATCAATAAAATAAATAATTCTCTTGCTAGGTTGAACAAGAACAAAAGAGAGAAAAGACAGTTTATTCCTAATAGGAATGAAAGAGGTAACCTACAGATATTAAATTGATTATAAAGCAATATTAAAAACAAATTTATGCCAGTAAAGTTGGATGAAACTTAAATATGTTAGAAAACTTATTTAAAAGACACAAATTACCACAACTGACACATACAAAATCTGAATAGCTCTCTATATAATATATAAATTCAATTGATAATCGAAACTTTTCTCACAAAGAAAATTATAGGCCCAGATGGCTTCACAGATGAATTCTACTTAATATCTAAGGAAGAAATATTACCAATCCTTCATAAAATAGAGAAAAATAGAACATTTCCCAACTCCTTTTATGGGGCCAGCATTACTCTAATACCAAAACCAGACAAAGGCATTACAGGAAACAGAAACTACAGACTAATATTTCTTACAAATGTAGAGGCAGAAATTTTTTACAAAATATTTGGTAGTCGAATCCAGTAAATATAAAATATAATACATCATAGTCAAGTGAGCTTTATCCCAAGGAATGCAAGGCTTGTTTAAGATTTGGTAATTTGTCATTGTAATTCACCATATTAGTATAATAAATGAGAAATCCATTTGATCATTTCAGTAAATGCAGGAAAAAGCATTTGATAGTATTCAACACCCATTTCATGATAAAATTAAACTCACAGTAAAGTAGGAATACAAGGGAACTTTCTCAGCTTGATAAAAGATGTTGCTGAAGAACATACAACTAATGAAATACTTTATAATGAAAGACTGAATGCTTCCTTCTTAAGACCAAGAGTAACACAAGGTCCACGCATAACATGTCTATTTAACACTTTATAGAAGATATGCAGATGGCCAGTTAAGCACATGAAAAGATGGTTAGTGTCAGTTGTTGGTTGCTGTTGAGTCAGTTCCAACTCATGGTGGCCTCCATGTGTGCAGAGTAGAGCTGCTCCATAGGGTTTTCAGTGCTGTGACCTTTCAGAAGCAGATCTCCAGGTCTGTCTTCTGAGGTGCCTCTGGGTGAGTTCAAACTGCCAACCTTTCAGCTAGTAGTTGAGCGCTTAACCATCTGTGCCACCCAGGGATTCAGTGTCAGCAGTAATTTTTAATCATTAGGGACTACAAATTGAAACCACAATGAGAAACCATGCCCACTAGAATGACTGAAATTAAAAAGACTGAAAATTCCAATTGTTAGCAGGGATGTGGAGCATCTGGAACTTTGATAAAAGCAAGATGGTACAATCACTTTGGAAAATAGTTTGGCAGTTTTTTATAAAATTAAACACTATACAATCCATCAGTTCCATTCCTAGGTATTTACTCAGGGAAATCAATACACATGTTCACAACCGGGTTTACACAATAATGTTCATAAAAACAAAAACAGGAAAAAAACAAACGCATTGCCATTGAGTCCATTCCGACTCATATCGACCCTATAGAACAGAGTAGAACTGCCCCACAGGGTTTGCAAGGAGTGGCTGGTGGATTCGAATAATGTTTATAGCAGCTTTAATTACAATAGGGAGAAACAAGAAACAATACAAATGTTCATCAACTGGTGATTGGATAAACAAATTGTGCTATATCCACATGTATTAGTTTTTTGTTGCTGAGTAACAAATTACCCCAAAATTTAATGACTTAAAACAACAGTATTTGTAATCTCATAGTTTATCTAGAACAGGAATCCAGGCATGGCTTAGCTGGGTCCTCTACTTCAGGTCTCTCATGTACTGCTGTCAAGGTGTTGACTTAGGGCTATAGTGATCTCAAGGCTCGAGTACAGAAAGATCCGCTTCCAAGCTCACTCACGTGGTTGTTGGCAGGATTCCTTTCTTTGTGGGCTGTTGAACCGAGGGCCTCAGTTCCTCACTCATTGTTGGTTAGAGGCTGCCCTGAGTTCCATGGATATTATTCATGGATAATAAATTTATTCATCACCCCCAAAAGTTTTTTGTGCTCCTTGGTAACTCTGTATAAGGTATTCCAACAAGGCAACTGGCTTCATCAGAGCAAGCAAGTGAAGAGGACAAGAGAGGAGATACTAGCAAAATGGAAGTCACAGTCTTTTGAAACCTTATCTAGGAAATGACATCCTATCACCTTGACTGTATTCTCTTTTCCAGGAGCAAATATCTAGGTACAGCCTACCCTCAGGGGGAGGGAATTACACAAGGGCATGAATACCAGGAGGGTAAGGATCATTAGAAGTCCTTTTATAAGCTACCTATCACACCATACAGTGGAATATTATTCATCAGTGAAAAGGAACTAATTGATACCACGTAACAACATGGATGAATCTCAAAAACATTATACTGAGGAAAATAACACAGACAGAGAAGAGAATAGACAAAGCTAATTTTTAGAATCAGAAGGAGGATCATGGTTGTGGTGGAGGCAGAGTTTTGTTTCAGAGGTGTACGAGTGAACTTTTTGTGATATGGGAAATGTTCTTTATCTTGAATGTGGTGGTGGTTATAACGGTGCATATATTTGTCAAACCTCATCAATGAATTTTATTTTATGTAAATTATATTCCAATTAAATTGATTTTTAAAAAAGTATATGCTATTAGATTCAAAGGACTGTTTTTTTTTTTTTAAATTATAGTGAGTATGTACATAACAGGAGCCCTGGTGGTGCAGTGGTTAAGAGCTATGCCTGCTAACCAAAAAGTTGGCAGTTCCAATCCACTAGCTGCTCCTTCTGTTCTGTCCTGTAGGGTCACTATGAGTTAGAATCGATTCGACAGGAATGGGTTTGGTTTTTGGCTAGGTTATATACATTGGCTTTATTTTTCATCTGTATTATTTCGTCCTCGAACCCTGATCAGGTATCAGTTGCCAACAAGTCAATTCCAACTCATGGTGACCCAATGTGTTGCAGAGTAGAACTGCGCTCCATAGAGTTTCTAAGGCTGTGACCTTTTGGAAGCAGATCTCCAGGCCTTTCTTCCAAGCCTTGTACCTTAGAGGTAGATAAGATAGGCAACATTATTCCTCATTTTATAGATGTAGAAACTAAGAATAAGCAAGTTATTTGGTTTTTTCAAGGTAAGACTTCAACCCAGATCTTCATTCCCAAATCTGATTTCTCTATGCTATAATGCCTCAGGTTTTATACTTTACCTACTGTTCCTACCATACGCTGAGCACATAGTAGATATTGAAATAGGCTGTCTCTGTTCAACCCCCCAGTCACTGATATCTGTTTCTTTGAGAAAGTTGTGCAGTTAATAATTAACTAGTTTTGAGTTCTTCAAAGGGGCAACATGTTGTTTGATCAAGGAGATTTGAAGTTTGGACTACTGAAATTTTTCTTTTTCATTCATCAGACAAATGTCATTGATTGCACTGTATGCCAAATATTAACACTAGCCATGGATATGGACAAATGTTGATTGTGTTATTGAGTTAGTAATATTCGATCTCTTCTTATTTATACAGGAGAGATTAAACAGATTCTAGAAAACGAACTTCAGATACCTGTGTCTAAAATGCTGTTAAAAGGCTGGAAGACTGGAGATGTGGAAGACAGTGTGAGTTTCTCAATTGCCTAGAAATAAAAGAAAATTAAGTGTTGTTATTAACTAAATGATATATAAAAATTGGTTTTAGTTAATGTTGTTACATATGACAGAAGTGTGATTTGGTGATAGCAATTTAGTTTAAAATAAGTTTTTCAAGCTAAAGCATTTTTATAGTAAACAAACAACTGCTTTAAATGAGGTAGGCAGGTAAATGAAAACCCTATTTGGCATGTTTTTCACATTTCAGACTATTTTATAGGAGTTAGTTTTGCACTCTTTTTTGAGAGCTTCTACTTTTTTTTCAAACCTTGTAGGGTGTCAGTGAGTGCCTGGGAGTAACAATTTACCGAACAATTACTTACTGGCCTGAAAGAAGTCATTCACAGTGTGTACATTTATGCCAAGTATTAATTATGGAACAAAGATTATAATAGGAAAAATTTTAAAACTTGGAAAATATAATTGGTAAGAATATTTCTTTGCTTACTTGGTTAACAGCAGGTGCTATGAATTGTATCTTAATGAATGCATTGTATTTTAACAGTTTACACAGTGCTGCAGTTTTAAGATAGTAGTTGCTATTCTCAGGGACTCATAGCAGCCTCAGGTATGAAATATATCACCCATTTTTTTAGTGTTGTACAGAGAGGGGAAGGAGGAAAAGAAATGAGTTAACTCTAAAGTTTTAAATGTTTGAGGTGGAAATAATTATCGAATCTTTTCTCTCTAGTTTCTGAGTCAGTATTTCCATAGCCAGGCATACATTTAGAATCTTCAATTTTTGGTTCAGTTCTTCTTGTGAATGACTTCTGGTAGATATTGTGCTTATAAGTACTTACATGTGAGTTCATTTGATCCATGAGTATCTTAATATTTATAGGAATTTGAAATTGACAAGATATTTACAAATTTAGATAGAAATTAATGATGTGATATATTAGAGGCCAGCAAACTTTTTCTGTACAGGGCCAGGTAGTAAATATTTTTGGCTTTGTGGGCCATGTAGTTTCTGTTGCAACTACTCAACTCTACTGTTGTATGAAAGCAGACATAGACAATATGTGAAAGAATGAGCGTGACTATGTTCCAATAAAACTTTATTTATGAACATTGAGATTTGAATTTTATGTAATTTCATGTATCATAAAATATTCTTCTTTTGCTTTTTAAAATAATTTTAAAATGTGAAAACCATTCTTAACTTACAGGCCGTACAAAAATAGGTGGCAGACTGGATTTGTCCCATGGACTATAGTTTGCTGACCCTTGGTGCTGTGTGACTGTTCTAATTGATGCATAGATTAAAAAAAAAAAAAAGATGCAGATTGAGTAAATCAACAACCTTGACAGAAATAAAACACCATAAGAAATTAGCTTACATAGCTGTTGTCATGGTTTGAATTATGTCCACCAAAAAATGTGTGTATCAAATTGGCTGGGCCATGATTTCCAGAATTGTGTGGTTGGCTTCCATTTTGTTATTGTAATTTTATGTTAAAAAGGATTAGGTGGGACCCTTACCCAGGTCATATCCCCAGTCCAATGTAAAGGGAGTTTCCCTAGGGTGTGGCCTGCACCACCTTTTCTCTCTCAAGAGATAAAAGGAAAGGGAAGCATGCAGAGAATTGGGGACCTCATACCATCAAGACAGCAGTGCCGGGAGCAGAGCGTGTCCTTTGGACCAGGGTCCCTGCGTCAAGAAGCTCCTAGTCCTGGGGAACATTAATGAGAGAGAAAGCCTTCCCCTGGAGCTGATGCCCTGAATTTGGACTTTTAGCCTACTTGATTGTGAAGAAATAAATTTCTCTTTGTTAAAGCCATCCACTTGTGGTATTTCTGTTATAGCAGCACTAGATGACTAAGACAGCTGTATTATTTATTTATTAATTTATTGAGAAACTTGTGGGTATGAATTAGTCTTGCATGGCATCTTCAGTAGTTTGCAAAGAGAAAGGTGAACATTTTGAGAAAGTTCTTGAAGCTATGTATTCTAATATTTGAACATAGTCTTTATTACAATAAAGTTGTTTATATCTACGTACTCTCTCCTTTGGGTGATTTTTGCTATTCCTATGCCAGCAATATTCTTATTGCTCCCAAATGTACATATTTTCAGCCCTGATATCTTTGAATTACAAATCCAAATTACTAATTGACTTCTGTACTTGCGTGCTTTATTGGCACCTCAAACTTAACATGTCTAAAGTAGAATTTTTTATTTTTCCTCCTTTGCCATTTCTCTGCCAGTCTTCCCCAATAAATGGTAGCACTGTACAGACATTGCTAAAGCCAAAATGTTGACATCAATTCACACAAGACCCATTTCTCACAACACCCAATCTTTTGGTAAATCCTATCTTCAAAATATATCTAAACTATGGCCACTTTTCAGTATTTTTATTGCAGCTGCCTTAGGCCATTATTATCTCTTGCCTGGACAAATGTGATAGCTTCCTCATTGTTTTCCCTGCTTCCTTTCTTGGGGTTTCCATTTCATTTTCCTTCCAACCAGCTGCCAGAGTGACTTTAAAAAACAAAAATTGAATTATATTGCCTGTTTTTTTTTTTTGCTTTGCATTTTGAATAAAATTCAAACTACTTATCAGTGTTTACAAGACATTGTATTATTTACCCCCTTCTCATCTCTACAGAGGCATACTACGTGGTTTAAAATCAGGAAATGTGTGCGTCAGGGTTGTAGCCTTTCATCACACTTATTCAGTCTGTATGCTGAGCAAATAATTAAAGAAGTTGGACTATATGAAGAAGAATTTGGCATCAGAATTGGAGGAAGACTCAGTAACAACCTGCGATATGCAGATGATACAACCTTGCTTGCTGAAAGTGAAGAGGACGTGAAGCACTTACTCATGAAGATCACAGACTGCAGCCTTCAGTATGGATTACACCTCAGTATAGAGAAAACAAAAATCCTCACAACTGGACCGATAAGTGATAAACGGAGAAAAGATTGAAGTTATCATTTTACTTGGATCCACAATCAACACCTATCGAAGCAGCAATAAAAAGATAAACGATGTTTCGTACTGGGCAAATCTGCTGCAAAAGACCTCTTTAAAGTGTTAAAAACCAAAGATGTCACTTTGAGGACTAAGGTGTGCCTGACTCAATTGCCTTATACACACGTGAATGCCGGACGATGAATAAGGAAGACCAAAGAAGAATTGATGCCTTTGAATTATGGTGTTGGCAAAGAATATTGAATGTACCATGGACTGCCAGAAGAGCGAATAAATCTGTCTTAGAAGAAGTGCAGCCAAAGTGCTCCTTAGAAGCAAGGATGGCAAGACTTCATCTTGTGTACTTTGGACATGTTATCAGGAGGGACAAGTCCTTGAAAAGGGACATCATAGTTGGTAATGTAGAGGGTCAGCAAAAAAGAGGAAGACCCTCAATGAGATGGATTGACACAGTGACTGCAACAATGGTCTCAAACATAGCAACGATTGTGAGGATGGCGCAGGACCAGGGAGTGTTTTGTTTGGTTGTACATGGGGTCACTGTGAGTTGGAATTGACTCGACACACCAAACAACAATAACAACATCTCTGCAATCTCATCTTGACCCTTTCTTGCCCTCACTTTCTATGTTCCAGCCATAGAAACCCCATTGTAATTCTTCAGACAGGCTCAAGTTCTTTACATTTTTTCTGACAGATACTGTTCAACTGCCTGGAATCCTTTACCCACATTTCTTTACATGGGTGGCTCTTTTTCATCCTTTAAGTCTCGCCTTCAGTGTTACCTTCTCTAACAGGCCTCCCATCCCAGATTTCTCCATCATAGTACCGTTAGTGGAGGTACTGTATCTGTCCCTTTCATCATTGTATATTCAATGCCTGATGTAATAGATATCAAATGTTCATGGAAGGAATGCATGACAAAACAACTTAAAGAGTATCCATTTTATTTAATCATGCCATTTGTGGTTTGAGGGGAAAATCTTTGGCCAGTGGCACTGCAAAATTAACTTGATGAAATGATAAGACTAAGCATTGTTGGGGGAAAAAACAACAAATAATCCACAAAGTAAAATAATGATAGCTAAATATAACTTTCCTGTGTGTGTGTGTGTTTTGTTTGCTTGCATTTTAACTCTGCAGAGGTAACACAATTCAGTTTCAAAAAGAACTTCACATATTTTACATACAGTTACAGGATTTCAGAATCTCCTGGTAGATTGTGAAGTTATGGGTAATTTCTAATACAGTGTTTTTCAAACCATGGGTCACAAACCATTAGTGGGTTGTGAAGTTAATTGAGTGGATTATGTTGTTGTTAGGTGCTGTTGAGTAGATTCTGACTCATAGCGACCCCATGCACACCAGAACGAAACATTGTCTGGTCCTGCGCCATCCTCACAATTATTGCTATGCTTGAGCCCATTGTTGCAGCCGCTGTGTCAGTCCATCTCGTTGAGGGTCTTCCTCTTTTTCTCTGACCCTCTACCAAGCAGGATGTCCTTCTCCAGGGACTGATCCCTTCTGATAACATGTCCAAAGTATGTAAGACATCGTCTCACTATCCTTGCTTCTAAGGAGCATTCTGGTTGTACTTCTTCCAAGACAGATTTGTTCATTCTTTTGGCAGTCCGTGGTATAGTCTATATTCTTCACCAACACCACAATTCAAAGGCATCAATTCTTCTTCAGTCTTCCTTATTTCATTGTCCAGCTTTCACATGCATATGAGGCGATTGAAAACACCATGGCTTGAGGCAGGGGCACCTTAGTCCTCAAGGTGACATCTTTGCTTTTCAACACTTTAAAGAGGTCTTTTGCAGCAGATTGAGTGGGTTATAGCCAGCATTGAAAAAAGAAATAGAACAGAAATGTTAGAATGTATTGCAAGTAGTAAGGGTATTTCTTACTACCTAGCTCATAACTAATATGAGTCAAGAGTAGGCTGCACTGCCCTTGGAGTAAGACTGTGCACTTAGTAAGATGAGCTCTTTCCTGGAGGGGTCAATAATGAGTTTCTCATGTTCCATGTTTGGGTAAGATTACCCTTCTGCAGTCTTCCTTGCCTACATCTACAGGCTTAAGAGGAATTCTTAGATAACCACTCCTCCCTACTTTCCAGCACTCTCAGCCTTGCCATTATTATTTGCTTTGATTCAACCAGGACTAATTTCATTGCACCTTTTCACATTGTTTCTGTCAGTCACTGCAAGAAGTCCAAGATTCCCAGCTCACCCCTCCATCAAATCTTCATAGTCTCTATACAGCCCACATTTCTGTCTCTATCCTTTTCCCTCAGCAATGCCTTGAAATCTTCTGCTGTGCCCTCTGGAACTAATTCATCATTAGCAAAATTCCCTCTATTGTCAACCTTTTCCCTGTACATTCTCTTCACCTTCTTGCTCTAGCTGAAACCTCTCTTACCTGAGGACATTGTTTCTCTGCAGCCTTTTCAGTATTATTTTTTCTGCGGTAGCCTTTATATCACTGAATTAAGTGGTAAGATAGGTGTCGTTATTGCTTCTCATTTCCACTTCCAGACCATCCTCTATCTCTCTTCCTAAAAACTCTCGGCTTCGATTTTTATGGCAAAAGATTATATCATCCACTACCCCTACATATTGTAGTCATCTACCCTTGCCATGTCACTCGCTTCATTTCCTGAGGATTTTAATTTTTAGTTTATAATTTCTGTCTGCACATACTTCTGCCTTCTTAATTTTAATATCTTTGTAAATGATTCTTCCAACACCCTGCTCTCATTTCCTTGAACTTCTCCCCTCCAAAGATCTTTTTCTCCTTCCTGTTCAGCCATATCTTCCCATAATCTTATCATTTATTAATAAGGACAGTAACTCCAAAATCTCATTTTCAAGCTTCCCATTTTCTTATCACCAACTATTATCTTTTTAGCTTATTTCGTTTAGTGTCCTAATTCCAACAATCTTTCAACTCGACTCTGACCTCCAGTCCATCGTTTCTATCACCTTTTCATGATCATTATCTCTTTCATGTCCTCTCTTCCTTCTTTTCACTGGGTTAAATTTCATGGTCAATCATTATAGTCACTTTGCTGCATATAACCTCAGCTCTGTTGTTCCCCACCTGCTTAAGTGTCCCTGCTTAACAAAAGCCCTACCCTAGTTAAAATCCAGCTTGCTCTCTATTTTGTTTGCTTCGCAGCTAAATGTGGCTGGAGACAAAATCATGCTGATAAGTGTTTCGTTAAATTTATGACCATGATCCCCTGAGAACCCCTTAATGTTGCTAGGCAATCATAGTATATTAACTGGAATCTCTTAAATGATAATTTTTATACTTATTGTCTCCTCACACCTTTAGCATGCTTCTCCCCCATTTTCACTCTTGGCTGATGACTTTGCTTCCTGTCTCACTGACAAAATAAAGGCAATCAGAATAGAATTTTAACAAGCTCCCAACTCGATGTCTGTCTGCTTACCTGCATCTTACCCACATACTATCTTTACTTGGCTTCTAGTCTAGATGACCCATCCAGGCTCCTGTCTAGGGTTAAGCCCCCATTTTTTTCTTTGGATTATGTTTACATTCCGTCTGGCCTATTCAAGGACTTCACTTTAGTTCTTCCCTCTCTCCGGCATCTTCAAATTTTTTTCCTCTGGAAGATTGTTACCGTTAACATTTAAACACCCTGTTATTTCTTCCATTTCTAAAAAAATTTTTTTCTCTGGATCTCACCTCCCCATCCACCAATGGCACCATTTCTTTACTGTCCTTGACAACAAAAGTTCCCCAGAACAGTTGTTTATATTTATTTATGTTTATTGTTTATATTCAGTTCCTCCCATTTTCTCTTGAGCCCAGTCCAAGCAGAAAACTCCTCCACTGTTTTGCTCTTGTCAAGATCGACAACCCCATCACTTAATTCAATGTGATTGTATCCAGTTTCATTACTTTTAAGTGCCATTTATATACATTCTCAGTTTCAGATCTCAAGTTTATATCTCCACCCTAGACTGGTTTCCTGCATTTTAGATTTTGGTATGTCCAGCTGCTGAATTATCTTTTCTATTTTAATGTCTAATAGACATTTCAAACCTGACATGCCCAATGTGGAAGTCCTCATCTGCAGTCTTTCTTATTTCTGTTGATAGTAACTTCATCTTTCCAGTTGTTCAGTCCAAAATCTTTAGGGCCATTATTGACACCTTTCTGTCATACTCCATATTCAGTTTGTCAGGAAGTCCTTTTGATTCTATCTTCAAAATATATCCAGAATCCAACTTCATTGTACCACCTCTACTACCATCATACTGGCTTAAGCCACCACCAGCCCTATCTTAGTTTATTTCATTAGCCTTCTTTGTGCTTCTGCCCTCCTTTGTCAACACTTTCCCCATCCATTTCCAACACAGCTGCTATCATGACTTTTTTGGAAACATGAGTCCAATCATGTCTCTCCTCCAGTAGCTTCCCATCTCATTTAGAGTAAAAGTGAAAGCTCTTACATTAGCATAAATGGCTCAACGTATTTCCTTCCCCCACCATCACTGTTTCCTCTTTGTATTTGCTTGGCTCCAGTTACATTGCATTCCTTATTATTTCTTAAGAGTTTTGTATTGTCTGTTTTCTCTGCCTGAAATATTCTTAGTTTGTTTCCTCACTAACTTCAAGTCTTTGCTCAAATGTTACATTGTCCAAGTGAGACCCACCTGCCCATGTCACCTAATTTAAAACTACAAAGTTGCCCAACCTCATATTTTTCATCCCCTTTCTCTGATCTATGTGTAGTCATCGAAATTGTCACCTTCTAATACCCCTGGTGGCACAGTGGTTTAGAGCTCAGCTGCTAACCAAAAAGTTGGCAGTTCGAATCCACCAGCCGCTCCTTGGAAACCCTATGAGGCAGTTCTACCCTGTCCAGTAGGGTTATTGTGAGTTGGAATTGACTTGATGGCAAAGGGTTTGGTTTGGTTTGAATACCCTGCTATATAAAGCAGTTGCTGTCAAATTGATTCTGACTCATGATGACCCTACTATATAATTTAGCTGTTTTTCTTTATTCCTACTAAAATGCAAGCTTCATAAGATCAGAGATTTTTGCCAGTTTTGTTCACTGCTTTATCGTCAGTGCCAAGAATAGCGCCTGGCACAAAGTAAGTAGCTCAATAAATAATGAATATGTGTGTCCTGGGTTACAATGTAAAATGTATTTATTAATGTATGTTGCTGTCAAAAAAAAAATTGAAGTACGCTAGCATGTCTTCACCATCAAGTTGGGAGTTTGAAAATTTATATAGGAGTTTTGTGGCAAAGAAATTTACTGAAATTTTCTGTGGTTGTCAAGCCACTGGATAAGATGTAGCCCAAGATTAGATTATTCACCCCAGACTGATGGCTTTAACAAAAAGATCTCTGGAGTAAGAGCTAAGAAACATAGGTAGCACTAGAGACCTTGCCCAAGTTACTTTACTTCTCAGGCTGCAGCTCCTCATCTATAAAATCATTGGTGTGAAATGTTCTTGATGATCCTTTTTGAGTCTAATGTTCTGTGAAAATCTTCATTGCTAATTTTTGCTATAATGACCCTGGAATAAGTTGCATATGAAAAAATTAATCAATCTCAACTATGTTCTTATCTGTTTCTATCTCTTCATGAGTAAAAAATTTGTATTTTAACATTCAGATTTATGCTAATTTATAATATATATTGAGGAAACAAGGTTATTTGGATTCAATAGATCTTCTGTATTACCCTATCTAGGAAATTGTCAAAAAATAAAGTCAAACTAAGAAGTTGTCAGTTTTGTGAGAACTATAGAAAAAATAATGCACAGTCAACATTCAATTTTTCTTTCTTTTTCAGATGGTCTTAAAATCTCTACACTTGCCAAAAAACAACAGTCTTTATGTCCTTACACCAGACTTGCCACCACCTTCATCATCTAGTCATGCTGGGTAAGGTGTTTGCTTTTCCTGTGAATCTGAAATGAAAGTTTGATCATTAAATTGCTTTAAACTATATAGACATCAAAATCAAAATCTTATTGAAGCTTTAACTTACCAACAACTATTAAATATACGGGTACAGGTGGCTTAATGAAGGTTCTGGCAACGTCCGCCACATGTCAACTGTATGCACGTATGTGGTTCCACAAGGGTATCCCCATTGGAGAACGGGAGCTAGCGGGCTACTTGGCTAAGTAGGGAGATCCAGTCTGTTTTCATTAACTCTCCTGGTCTCGCATCCGCCCTGGCCCTGGGGTGATAGAGGGAGGGGGTCCGGTGCCCGTCAGAGGCTGCCGGTTCGCCAAGCTCGCCTGAGACCGCGCAAATGCCACCGAAGCCACTGAAGGGAATGCCCTGCCGAGGCCGCTGCCCCCCTTGGTCCGGGCGCCCTGCACGTGATACCCGTGCAGAGGCCGCGGCTCCTCCCGCGGTGGCGGCTGCCCCTGGCTGGGGCAGATGGGACTGGAAGAGTTTAAAGTCCATTAGGGGAGATGGGGAAGGCAGGCAGGGAGGAAGGAAGGAAGGGAGCTGGAGGTATGCCGGGCGGGCAGTCAGGCTGGTGGGATTTAGGCGCAGCTCGGGGAGACCGGATGGCGACCACGGAGGACCAGTGGCACTGGAGCCAAAGTTTTTGTGTAGTTCTTCAGCGTAGCAGAGGCAGTGCAGGTCCCGGCCCCAGTGGTGACCATCCTGCGCGTTTCTCTCCTGTACGTAATGTGGTGTTCCCACAGCGTCCAAATCACATTGTCCTATTTCATAGAACCTATGGTGGACGAAATGCATAGCTGCATATCAGTTTTCAAACTGTTTGGTTTGGGTGGTTTATTTGATTTTAGTGGTGAAATCGCCTTTCCAAAGGAAATCTTTAGCAAAACCTCAGTATGTAAAAAATAATCAATAATGGAACTTCTCTGATTGAAGGGGAAGGACTAGAACTTGAAGGGAGGGGAAAAACTAAATGGAACTCCAACCCCTTCCTGGCTGAAAGAGGCATACGTGTGAGGAAAGTTCATTGGGATCTGTAGAATAAAGTCTGAAAAACCCTGGTAGTAAATTTTGTATTAAGATACTATTTTTGGAATTGGGGATCTCATTCCATTTTCAGTTTTTACAGTGAATTTCACTGCATTTATAAAACAATCAAATAATTTTAATGTTTAATTATAAACCAAGCTTTTTATTCCTAGGTGAAGCAAACAGACCTGTAGTGAATGATTGTGCTAATGATAGAGAAATAATTTTTGTGAATAATCTTTTCACATAGTATTGTTACAGAACTGTGTATTTTAGATTGTCTATAGATTTTCACAGGTCCCTTGGTGGTATAAGCAGCTTGTGATCAGCTGCTAACGTAAAGATTGGGCATTCGAACCTACCAGTGGGATCGAGAAGAAAGGCCTGGCAATTTGCTTTTGTAGATTACGGCCAAGAAAACCCTATGGAGCAGTTCTACTCTGTAACACATGGGGTCACCATGACTTGAAATCGACTCAACAATTTTTTTTTTTTTTTAAAGATTTTCAGTTTTTATACACTTTTATTTCTTTAATGTAACTTAGTGGTTTTTTTTTTTAAGGGAATGTGGTAAATCTATCATGTAAAAGACATGTGTCCCTAAACTTTGACTGTTGCCAAACGTTTTCTTCACCACCTGCTGAATAGCTTCATTATTAAACAGATAGTAGCAAAAAAGAAAATTAATTTTGGCTTTACCAAAGTAGAAATTGCTCAACTGGTAAGGCTGATATAATTATATTTCATAATTCCGTTAATAGTTTAAGTTAAGAATTTGAAGATTTCTTAGGTTGCTTTTTATCTTCTGTGTTCAGATCATATGTTAATAGGCAGTGGAATTTGCACAATTACGCCACAGCCAAACAGTACTTGTAGTCCTCGTGCTTATCGTAATGTTGATATAAACCTCAGATGAGATTTTAAGTTAAAGAGTTATGGATCTGGTGCTGTATCTAGTCGGGTAGAACATTATCTTGTAGGTTAGTTAACAAAGTATAATCACAGGCATTCAAGATGTAATCCACATAATTAAAAGCAGACAGGAGACATCAGTGGTTATAATCCATTGCTTTCCAGTAGCATGATTAAATAGATTTATCAAAATGTCTTCCTGGGCTAATGGAAATGTTCTTCATTGCCATGTGGCTGAGCTTAGTTTGATTGCCAATCTTTCAGTTCCTTGGAAAGCAGGGGCCTACGATGCTGCTGAAACGCAGTGTTTCTTGGAGAATGAGTACTTCGTATGGCACTAAAGTAGTCTTCTCTGGTTGTCTTTATGGATTTTTACCAACTTGTAGTGATGCTATTTTCTGTATTGGAACAATAAGAAAGAAAGAAAGAAATATTCAAAGCCAAACAAAAGACATCGAGCACAGAATATTTAGGTGGTGGGAGAGATGGCATATAGAGGCTCCTGCTAATGTGAAAGTCATAAATTAATACACATTTTATTATAACCTAACTAAAACGCAAAGGTTTATTCCTTATAATGTGTTTGTCTAATGTATCTTTCTTTAAAACTAGAGATTATTTTTATTTTTTTAAAGACTCAGGCCACTTTTTTTTTTATTGTTGTAGTTTAAGTTTACAATCAAGTTACTCTGTCTTACAAAAATTTATGTGTACATTGTTATGTGACCCTAATTGCTCTACCTATACTTTGACAGCACACTCCTCCTTTACACCCCGGATTTCCCATGTCCATTCAACCAGCTCCTGACCCTCTCTGCCTTCTCATCTTACCTTCAGACAGGAGCTGCCGATTTAGTCTCATGTATCTACTTGAGCTAAGAAGTACACTCTTCACAAGTATTGTTTTATGTCCCATAGTCCGGTCTAATCTTTGTCTGAAAAGTTGACCTCGGGAATTGGTTTAGTGCTGGGTTGACAGAGTCCGGGGGCCATGCTTTCCATGGTTCCTCCAGTCTCAGTCAGACTGTTAAGTCTGGTGTTTTTACTAGAATTTGAGTTCTGTACCCAACTTTTCTCCTGCTCCATCAGGGACTCTCTGTTGTGTTCCCTGTCAGAGTGGTCATTAGTGAGATTATATTTATTTTTATTTTTTTGTGATATATCTTAAATGTTTTTCTCTTAAGTGAGTTCAGGGGATGTAGGAAGATGGAGGGGAGTTGGAGAATAAAACTGCCTTTTAGTTGTAGTGCTGCTGAACTCCACCATTTCAACTCTAGTGCAATGACAAACATTAGGTTCTTTCTTTGTAAACTTTCAGCTTTCTTTAAAGGGAGTAGATAACATTGGAATTATAGTATCACTCCTAAAGAAAATTTATACATAACCAAGTCAAGAAGGTAATATGATTATAATACATCTTCTCAGACAGAAGACATCAGGGTATATTGAGAAAAATCCTGAATTCCTATCCCAGCTTTAGATTTTTCATTTATAAAATGGAAAGTATTGTTTTCAGCTGCCAGAATGGTTTTAAAAAATTCAATAAGTGATACATTATATGTGAAAGCACAAACTGCAAAGCATAATAATTAAAATTATTTATGCTAATAAATATCAACGATGACACTTTTCATTCAAATCTCCCTTGATTCTTATAACAACTCTGTAAGGACACAGGAAGATTTTGATACTTCCGTTTTGCAGATGTGGAAACTGAGGTGTTTAAAAAAGTTGTGTGGGTTGTTGAAGGTCAACAGTAAGTACTTCTTACTCTGAGGATTGTGCTCCATCTACCCCAGCTCTTAGTTTCTTAACATAAATATACAAAGCTTTATTTAAAGAATCCTTTTTTGGAGGCTGTTCTTTAAAATGAGAATTTTTTTAAATTTTATGTTTTGTTATTATATACTCTAAAGGGCATTTACATACTTTATTTCACTTACTGTAATTCTTCTCAAGAATATTCATGAACTTTCAGTGTATGAATTTATTCTTAGGTACAGTACATTATTAATCATTTAGTAAAATATAGACATAAAATAAAATGTTCTTAAATAACTTACTGACAAACCATTTTATTTTCCAGGTTTGGTGAGTGTTCACGCTGATAGAGAACTGTATCTCAAACCATTTCCTATTAAAAAGAAATATTAACTGAATTTTACTGCCACTAGGGGGTGCCTGGTAATTGAGTCTTGCTTTGTATTTACAGTTACTTTCTGGGGGGGCGGAAAACAAGATACAAGCTAAAGCTAAGAGCAGCAAAATTACCTGATGAGCCCTTATAACTGAATTATATTTCGAATGATTTTTATTGTAAAGTAAATTATGTTTTTCAGGAAATAGAATATAAGCTTTCTGAGAATTTAAGAACAGACTTTTTATGCATAGTCTTTATAACAGTTGAAAAGCTTTTTTTTTTTTAATTGTACTTTAGGTGAAGGCTTACAGAACAAATAGTTTCTCATGAGACAGTAATGCACATATTGTTTTATGACATTGGTTAACAACCCCACAACATGTCAACCCTCTAACTTCTCAACCTTTTTTTACGGTGAAAATACGCATAGCCAAAGATACACCATTTCAAAAATTTCTACATGCACAGTTCAGTGACATTGACTACACACTTCCAATTGTGCTGCTATTCTCACTTAAGATGAAGGCTTATAGAACACAATAGTTTCTCACTTAACAGTTACTACACATCTTGCCGTATGACAATGGTTAACAATCTCACAACACATCAACAATATCCTTACTCAACCTTGGGTTACCTATCACCAGCTTCCTAGTCCCCGTCTGCCTTCTGGCCCTTGTCACTGGACTACTGTACCTCATTAGTCCCATTTAGTTTTATGGGGCTGTCCACTCCCAGGCTGAACGGTGAACCTCAGAGATAACTTCACCACTGAGCTAAAAGGGTGTCTGGGGTCCATACTCTCGGGGTTTCTCCAGTCTCCTTTAGGCCAGTAAATCTGGTCTCTTTTTTTGTGAGATAGAATTATGTTCTACATCCTTCT